CCCCAAAACCCCAAAACCCCAAAACCCCGTCTCTTATTCAAAAAGCTATTTTAATAGATAAATGTTATTAAATCAAAGATAATTAACTTCATATATATATAAATGTAAACTTTATATTCTAGTTTATTCAAATTACCATCCTTTCTGAGTCAGCACCAATTATGACAGATATCAAACTTATTTCATAAACATGTATTCTTTGTTAGACTTTGCAAGATCTTCCTTCTTTCTTTATGAGATTACTCCTAGAGTGCTCTCTAGACCTTGATTGAATAGCTGTTAACTTATCTTAGCTTCTTGCCAAAAACACTAGCCTATTCATTGCTTTCATTCACTGACTTCATTCTATAGTCATAAAGTTATCCAACTATATTATGATTGGCAAAGTCAAGCTCTTTGACTGTATTAGTTATTTAATCAAATGATTCGTTCAGGATTCTCTATTCAAACATCTAATACTTCAAATCATAAACTTCTTTTTGAACCTTTTGCTCTTATTAATCACATTCCTTTCAAATTTATAAAATCTCATCATGCCTTTTATCAAGCTTATCCTTTATTCTCTTTGCCTTCTATTCTTTTAAACTCAACTAGTAAAATTTCTAGGCTTATTTAGAATAATCATTTACTTTAATTTCTCCTTGGATAGTTTAAGATCCATTATTAAAGATTGTTTTAAAAAGCTGATTAGAATATTTGTTTGATTAAGAAGAATTGAAAATAGATTTATTTTTAGGCATTTCTCCAATATCTTTTTAGGTTTTGTAAATCTCATTTTAATCTAATTTATCTCTTAAGAACTTCACTTAAGTCTTATAATTTATTTCACCTGCATTCAAATATTTTTTAGATTTCAATGGTGTCAGATTTTGACTATCATTGACTTTGGTTATAATGTTTTTCTCATTATCTAAAAGTTTCTGGGTAGTGTAATCAATAGAGTTATAAACTGTTTGGTTCATGTTCCTTAAAGGTTTTGCACTTATGAACAATGATTGTTCTTCAAAATTTTTAGTGCCATAATCTTTATCAAAGTTTTTGGAATTAGAATGTATTCTTGGTACCTTGTATAATTTTTAATTATGAATGCTCTTGCTAGAATTTTCTATGTTTGCAATCTTTGGAAGATCAATTTTGATTTCTTATAAATCCTCAAGTTTAATTCTTTAAAAATCTTTCTTCTTAACTTCTTTTCCTAATTTTTATGTTCTCCAATCTGGTCTGAGTTTTAATCGTTTTAATTTTTTTAGTAATTTCTCTTTTTTTTCATCCTCATCGAACTTCTTTTTAATTTGTCTTATCCTATCATTTTTAAATCCTTCGTATTACTCTTATTAATCATATTCCATTAAATAAGATCTGTTGATCTTAAAGAAATAAAACATTTTCTAATCATTACTCATGATGCGCATTCGATCTCCAAATGTGATCTTAGATTCATTATTTGTTTTATATCTATGATTATTCTTATTTTTATTAGTATAATCAGCACTGTTTCTAGATAATCAATCGCAAAAACTAATATTTTTAACATTCTTAATTGCCCTATTTCTGTCTTACCCCTCTTCTTCAGCAACAGTAGTGCTATTCAATATTGATTATTTTTATTTTACTTTTTTTAGTAATAAATCTAGATCATTTATTGCTTTTTCCTGCTCTTATCTTTTCCTCATCTTCTCTTTTTATATTTGGAGTTCTTTTTATTTCTCTAGCATCATATTATTTAAACAAATTATTCTTGATTCATTTTAGTCAAGATGAAGATAGAGATCTTTGTTCAATTGATTAAGCTAACTTTTAACAATTCTTTTCTATGTATCAAATATGTTATCCATTGTATCCATGTAAGTATCATTTTTATTTCTTTCAGCTTTTTATCGGAGTACATATTCAAGTGCTTTAAGCTCGGTGTCAGGATCTTACTCAAAATCTCCCTCTTTCCAATTATTTGCAAGTAAAACTTAATGCATGATTTATTATTGCAATATATTAGTAAAGTTAATTTTATTGCTAATTATCTAGAGTTTGTTAATGTAAGTTCAAAGGGGTTTTGGGGTTTTGGGGTTTTGGGG